TCAATAAAATATGTGTGTGGTTTTTTTTTTAATAATAATTTTAAGGTGGTGACAGCAGAGCATTAAACTAAACAAGGGACCCTTCTGAGCTCATCCATGAAACCGGGGCCCTAAATTTCAGATGGATGGTAAGTGGGTAGAAAGATACAAGATAGATAGATGATAGATGATAGATAGATGATAGATGATAGATGATAAATAGATGATAGATGATAGATGATAGATAGATGGTAGATGATAGATGATAGATGATAGATGATAGATGATAGATGATAGATAGATGGTAGATGATAGATGATAGATGATAGATGATAGATAGATGATAGATGATAGATAGATGATAGATGTTGAGGTGGAATAAACAGATGGCCTCACATATGGGCCTAATCCATACTGAGCATCCAGTGAAGAGACAGTAGGTGCAGGAAGGGGTCAGTGCTTTACTTCTTGTGAAGATTCCTTCCTTCCTTCCTTCCTTCCTTCCTTCCTTCCTTCCTTCCTTCCTTCCTTCCTTCCTTCCTTCCTTCCTTCCCTCTTTCAGGGAACACGTTAGGCACAGCTCAGCACCAGGCACACAGAAACACAATAGAAAACGTTGCTCGGACCCCATGGGTTCTGCCGTAGAAACCAAGGGGGGAAAGTAAGGTTTCCTCTCGGGGTAACTGTGATGAGGGTGGGGGGCTGGGCTCCACGGGAGAACCCGGCCCTTCATCCTGGCTTAGGTGGAGGGAGGGGGGAACTCCTCAGAGGAAGTGACTCAGGAGCTGAGGGGGGAGGAAGGGGGCCGGCCGATGACTCGGAGGGGAAAGGTGAGGCAGCGAGAGCGCAGGGAGGTGGGAAGCAGAGCGGGAACAGCGGAAATCCACAGGCCCCGGGGCAGAAGGCCCAGGCTGGGCCTCAGCAACCTGAGTGCCAGGGAGGAGAGAAGGGACAGGAGATTCGTGAGGAGCCTTTCAGATTTCATTCTTTAAAAAAAAAAAAAAGATATATATATATATATATATATATATATATATCTTTTTTTTAAATTGATTTCAGAGAGTAAGGGAGAGGGAGGGAGAGAAACACCAATGATGAGAGTCATTCATTGGCTGACTCCTGCACGCCCCCTACTGGGGATCGAGCTCACACCTGGGCGTGTGCCCTGTCTGGGAATCGAATTCCCACCTCCTGGTTCATAGGTCGGTGCTCAACGACTGAGCCACACTGGTCGGGCCAGATTTCATTCTTTAAAAAATAATATTAATAATAATTCAATATATTTGATTACAGAAGGCATGTATATATGCTTTTGGTTCAAAAGCCTCACCCTGGCTGGTGCGGCTTGGTTAACAGAGTGTCGGCCTGTGCACCACAGGGACTTGGTGCATTTTGTGTTAATTTCGGGGTACAGGGCAGGTAAGGGGCCCCACTTCGTTCTTTTTGCATGTGGCTATCTGACGGTCCCAGCATCATTCATTCATTTGAGAGAGAGAGAGAGAGAGAGAGAGAGAGAGAGAGAGAGAGAGAGAGAGAGAAACCCAGGTATGTGCCCTTGGCCAGGAATCAAACCCTCAGGCTGTCACTCTAACCATTGAGCACACCAGCCAGGGCCCTATTATTTTCAATTAAAAAAAAAAATTAGTTCCACCCGGCTCATTGGCACACATTCAAGCTGTACTACAAGCACTAGGCATGGAGACTCGAGTTCATGGAGCGAGTCACGGGTGGTAAGTGCACTTGCCTCAAGTCCCGGCAGTGTCACTGCCGGGGCTGTCGACCTGACTCATCGGAACCAGTTTCCGTACAGCTCATCGCCGTGAGGAGAGGGATGAACACACGGAGGAGGACGCACACAAGACAAAGCACCCGCGGCGGGGGGAGGCGGCAATGCCGCAGGGGCCCCCATCCGGACCCGGGGGCGGGCTGGCATTCTGCCCACGTCCCCGGAGCTTTGGTGTCGAACAGCGATTTCCAACCCTTTTCCTCTCCCGCCCACATCAACGAACGACCGGAACTCTGCAGCACACCAGAAAGCCTGTTTTTTGCTGATCTGACAAAAATTAGGGGGGGAAAAGGTGTAATTTTGTCTCGTTCACACCAGTCAGCTATGGTTGTGTTGGCTGCTGCCATGTTTAATCGGACCATCTAAGGCCGTGGTCGGCAAACTGCGGCTCTCGAGCCATGTGCGGCTCTTGGGCCCCTTGAGGGTGGCTCTTCCACAGAATACCACGGCCTGGGCACGCCTACGTTGAAGAAGTGGCGTTAGGAGAAGTTTACGTTTTAAAAATGTGGCTCTCCACAGAAATGTCAATCGCTGACCTGTTGATGTTTGGCTCTGTGGACTAAGGAGTTTGCTGACCACAGACCTAAGGGGGACAGATCCCGGGTTCGGAACCCTAGGCCGGGAGATCTTGGGGGGAAGCTTGGGGCCGGTCCCGTCATTCACACACCACCAGCCTCTCCAGGCTTCTCTTTCCCCACGCTTAACAATCTCTGTTATTCTTGTCTAACTTTGTCCACGACAACGAATTGATGGTGTTTTTCCCCCCCTCTCTCTTTCCCTTCCTCTCTTTCCGTCTCTCAAATCAATCCGTCAAAAGCAAAAACCTACACAAACATGATAAAGTTGTAACATGTAGGAAGGGAGGGTCCCTTGCAAACTTTTGCTCCCAGAGATAACTTCCTGGCCGGCTTTTCTGATCGGTGGTTAGTCAAGATCCTGAGGATGACTGTGCAGTCAGCACTGACCAGCCCACATCTGTCCGAGGAGAACCGGGATGGCCACAGGCAGCGAGGCCGGGACACCCACACATCGCAGGGGAGACCGAGACGCCCACACAGCGAACGTGACCTCAATCCAGGCGGCGTGTGCTACGGTCAGCGACACGGGCTTCCATGCCAGGGCCAAGCCACACCCACGCTCTGCTCTTTCCTATTTAAAAAAAAATATATATATATATATATTTTTTTTTATTAAATATAAAATATATATATATATTAATTGATTTCAGAGTGGAAGGGAGCAGGAAAGAGAGGTAGAAACATCAATAATGAGAGAGAATCATGGACCCGCTGCCTCATGCACGCCCCCCCACCACCACTGGGGATCAAGCCCACAACCTGGGCATGTGCCCTTGACTGGAATAGAACCCAGGACCCCTCAGTCCGACCCTGTATCCACTCAGCCGAACCAGCCAGGGCCCACGCTTATTGGCTGGGCATCCTTGAATATACCAACCTCTTTGAGCCTCGCTTCCCTCATTTTGAAGCCTGAATCAGCAATAGTCCCTACCTTACGGGCCGCAGGCGAGGTAAGTCAAGAGAGTGTGTCTCAGGCCCCAAGCGCGGGGTCTGACACGTTGGAAGCTCCCAGGAATGTGGGTGCAAACATCACCTTTGTCATCCTCTTCCTCACCAAGTGCGTCTGGTTCCTGAGAGTCTAGTATTAGATCGCTCTGACTAATCTACCACTGAGAGTCTACCAACCTCTACTGTTGAACTTGGGCATGCAACTGAAGAAACAACTTTCCTATTTTTTTTTAATTTCAGACAGAGAGAGAGAGAGAATCATTGATCGGCCGCCTCCTGCACGCCCCCACACCGGGGATCGAGCCTGCAACCCGGGCATGTGTTCTGACTGGAAATCGAACCGTGACCTCCTGGTTCACAGGTCAAGGCTTAACCCCTGAGCCACCGCCGGCCGGGCAACTTTCCTATCTCCAACTCCAAGGAGAAGCAACTTAGAAACTTGGTGCCAAGCAAGACGCGGACAGACCCAACTGTCATGGGACAGAAGTGTTCCGTGGCCTTACACCCAGCTATGCCGAAGAGCAAAGAGACGGTGCATGAAACGGAGACCGGCTTCGAACCAAGAGTGCACAGTCCTCTTAGGTCCTGTCACTCCGAGTTCAATTATCAAAAAAAAAAAAAAAAGACGGGGCTTTTAAAATATCACGTGCTAAGCGGGGGAGGCCGTGTGGGGACGGGGGGCGGGGGGGGGGGGGGAACGGGGGTACCCAGGAACTCTCTGCACTTTCTGCTCGATTTGGCTGAGGCGCTCAGCCTGCTGTCACCCGCAAAGCTCGGGCATGTTTTTCAAAAAAAGATCACGTACTCGGACATAAATCACCGGGGCAGGGAAGCGTATCAAAATCTGACAGGAGCCAAAGCCTCGCCTGGTTGGTCCACACGCCTGGCGCGGCTCCCACCGTCTTAGGAAACTTGATGCTGCTCCCAAGTTGCTTCTTCTTCTTCCTTTTTTTTTTTTTTCTTTTGCAAAAGTAGAAATTCACCGCGGCGTTCTGGAGAAGCCAGCCCACGCCTGGACCGAGAAGACGGCACGGGGACCTAGCGCCCACGTCCCGTGTCCTCACACACAGGCGATGCCCCCTCACTCAGGTGCACATCGCAACCTGCTGCCCCTCCCTCAGGTGCAGGCGGGGGTTTCGTCCCCTGCGGACGGCTTCTGGAAAACCGGCTGCTGGGCACCGTCGTCGATCGCCGGGCGCTGTGAGCCAACGCCACGGTTGGGGTTGGGGTTGGGGTTGGGGTTGGGGCTGGGGTTGGGGTTGGGGCTGGGGTTGGGGTTGGGGTTAGGGTTGGGGTGAGTCACTCTCCCGCCCGCAGCAGGCGGCCGCCGGGCTTGCAAAGGGATGCCCGTCCGCGGCCCCCGTCACTGCCCACATGACAGGTGGCCTGCCCAAACCTATCCTGTACGTGGAGAACCTTTTGTGGTTCCTGTCTGCCCGGGGGATTTTCACTGCTTATTTATTTATGCAAACGGCGGCGGGTTGCCTAACAGCCTTGCCGGCTTTTTTTTTTTTTTTTTTTTTTAGCGTTTGCGATTTCGTAGTTTCCTGGTAACCATTCAGTCATCTATTTCAACACCCCGACGTGACATAAAGGCGGCCGGCGAGGCGCCGTCCTCCACACACGGGCACACACCTCCGTCCACAGCCCAGGTGAGCGCTCCCGGCCGCCGCCGCCGCCGCCGCCCGCCGGCCCGCCCGCCGCCCCGCATGCATCCGCACCCCCACACGGAGGCTAACTTTCTGCTGATCCACGGCAAGAACTGCTGTGTGTTCCGGGATGACTTCATCGCCAACGTCCTGCCGCCCGTGCTGGGGCTGGAGTTCGTGTTCGGGCTCCTGGGCAACGGGCTGGCCCTGTGGATCTTCTGCTTCCACCTCAAGCCCTGGAAGTCCAGCCGGGTGTTCCTCTTCAACCTGGCGGTGGCCGACTTCCTGCTCATCATCTGCCTGCCCTTCCTCATGGACAACTACATGCGCAAGTGGGACTGGAAGTTCGGGGACGTGCCCTGCCGGCTGATGCTCTTCATGCTGGCCATGAACCGCCAGGGCAGCATCATCTTCCTCACCGTGGTGGCCGTGGACCGCTACTTCCGGGTGGTCCACCCGCACCACGCCCTCAACAAGATCTCCAACCGCACGGCGGCCGTGGTCTCCTGCCTCCTGTGGGCCCTCACCATCGGCCTCACGGTGCACCTGCTCTACCGGGACATGATGGTCAAGAACGACGACGCCTACCTGTGCAGCAGCTTCAGCATCTGCTACACCTTCCGCTGGCACGACGCCATGTTCCTGCTGGAGTTCCTTGTGCCCCTGGGCATCATCCTCTTCTGCACCGCCCGCATCGTGTGGAGCCTGCGGCGGCGGCAGATGGACCGGCACGCCAAGATCAAGCGGGCCATCACCTTCATCCTGGTGGTGGCCGTGGTCTTCGTGCTCTGCTTCCTGCCCAGCGTGGCCGTGCGCGTCCGCATCTTCTGGCTGCTGTACACCACGGGCCTCGCGGGCGAGGGCGACTGCGGGGCCTACGCCTCCGTGGACCTGGCCTTCTTCATCACCCTCAGCTTCACCTACATGAACAGCATGCTGGACCCGCTCGTGTACTACTTCTCCAGCCCGTCCTTCCCCAGCTTCTTCTCCGCCCTCCTGCGCCGCTGCCTCCGCAGGAAGAAGCCGGAGGGGCCGCCGCTGCCGGACAACCGGAGCACCAGCGTGGAGCTCACGGGGGACCTGGGCGCGTCCAGGAGCGTGCCCGGCGCCCTGATGGCCGAGGCCGGGGAGCCCTGGAGCCCCCCCTCGTATCCGACGGCGGCCGCGGCCTCTCGCTAAGGAGCTGAGAGGAGGGAGAACCCAGCTCCCCGGTGGAGCCCGGGCGTGGCCGGTGCCCGGAGGAACGGCGTGAGGCCCGGCGGCTGGCTGGCGGCCTCCTGGCCCGGCCCGGCCCGGCCCGGCCCGGAGAACTGGCTGAGAGGAGCCGTGTAGGCGCAGGGGCAGCAGCGATCTCGGAGGAATGGAGGGTGACACGTCCGCTGCCTCCCGGACACCTGCAGAACTGAGGACGCCAAAACCGCCCGGGCTCCTGCCCGCCCAAGGGGGGGCCACAGAGACGCCCGCCTGCCCGCCGGCACCTGGGATTCCTGAGCGTCTGCCCTTCGCCTGCCTGGGACGTGGATGGTTCTGAGCTCCAGGGGCTGGGCCTGCTCCCGGCTCGGCTGCCTGTTCCCCGGGACGTGGATGGTTCTCAGCTCCCGGCTCTGGCTGGGAGAAGGAGAAGGAAGGGACCGGAGAGGGGCTGCGTTCCGGCGGGAGCCGGGCACCGTTTCCCAAGGCCTCGGGCACCTGGGGTCCCGGCACCGATGCATCCTCTGGCCCAGCTCCGGCAGGACCGGACAGGGCAGAGAGACGGGGAACTTTGGTCACCGCCCGAGCTCCCCGCGGGGTAAGAGGGGGCCGGCCCCGGGAGAGCCGGCGTGACCGAGGGGAAGGAAATGGCATGTGCGTTCCCGCCCGCAAGGAATGCTTCCCCCTCTGGTTTGCACTCGTGAAAACGGCATCAGGGGAAGAGCGGCCTCCGGCCTCTGTTTGCTTTTGTCATTAGAAGGGAGAAGCCGGCCGCGGAGACCGGGGAGGGGGCCTCCGGCCCCTTTGCTCGCGTCTCCATCCTGGTGAGAGAGCCGCCTCGCCAACAAGCTTGGAAAGGGGACGCGGTCTGGGCTGCATGTGTCTGGGTGACAGTTCACAGAGACGGGACCGCCCGCTTGCCCAAGCGGGGACCTTTGTGGGCGGTGAACTGTGTCCCGGTAAAAAAGAAAAAAAAAATACCCAATCCTGTAACGTAAGAGGGCCGAGGACGCTGAGACAGAATTCCATGGGCATCGGGGCCCGGCGGGCGGGCCAGGGCACAAGTGAAAAACACTCCGTGCGGGAGGATGGTTACAGACGGGAGTGGCCAGAGCAGTTTGCCCTTGCGTTTAGATTTTGGGTGAATATCGCTCTTGGTATGTGTGTGTTCAAAAAAGGGAATCGGGCACCCCAAACCTATATAAATGTATTAACCAATGTCTCCCCACTCCCTCTTTCCCAACAAAGTCAATAAAAAACGTAAAATAAAATTTTAAAAAGAGGCACCGGCCAGCCTGGGGTTTGTGCCTTTGAAGCGGGCAGACAGGGCTTCCCGAGGCTGGTTTCTGTTCCACCGAGGCCACGGTAGGTAGCCGTCCGGTGTGAGTCTGCGATCCGGCCAAGTTTCACTTCCAGCTTCGGTCCCTCCTCGGTTCTGTAGCAAGACAGACAGGTTGGCCCTCACGGTTCTTTAGCAAGACGGGTTCGCCCTCACGCCCTGACCTGGATGCAGATGAGAAACGTAGACAGACGTGCCGGCTCCCAGCCGAACGGCCTCCATCCCCCGCGGACCGCGTGCCTTCAGAGCACTCTGCTGATCGGTTCTCCCACCCGCTCCCGGGGGGAAAGTCTCAGGCAGAGGCGCCTGCGGAGGAAGCCGCAGAGAGGAGAGGAGCCGGGGAGAGGAGCGGCGGGGAGAGGAGGCTCCCTCGCCTCCCGTGGGTGAGTCAGCGGGGAGAGCCGTTCCAACCTGTTCCCAGCAGCTCACATCGGTGCATTTGCTCATTCATTCTGCTCACTTAGAAAAAAAATGTGTATATATATATATATATATTCCTTACAAAGAGGAAGGGAGAGGGATAGAGAGTTTGAAACATCAATGAGAGAGAAACATGGATCAGCTGCCTGCTGCACACCCCCTGTTGGGGACGTGCCCGCAACCAAGGTACATGCTCTTGACCGGAATTGAACCTGGGATTTTTTCAGTCCCGCAGGCCGACACTCTGTCCACTGAGCCAAACCAGTTAGGGCCATTCCATTCACTTTTTAAAAAACATTTGTTCTGCCGAGACTTGTTTGGCTCAATGGATAGAGCATTGGCCTGCGGACTGAAAGGTCCCGAGTTCGATTCCGGTCAAGGGCATGTACGTTGGTTTGCGGGCACGTCCCCAGTGGGGTGTGTGCAAGAGACAGTTGATCATGATTCTCTCTCATCGATGTTTCTAGCTTGCTATCCCTCTCTCTTCCTCTCTGTAGAAGTCAATAAAATATATTAAAAGCAAAACATTTGTTCTTGTATATTTTCAGAGAGAGAGGGAGAGATAGACACGTCCATGATGACAGAGAATCCCGGATAGGCTGCCTCTGGCATGACCCCCACGGGGATGGAGCCCGTGATCCAGGCATGTGCCCTTGACTGGAATGGAACGGGGACCTCCTGGTTCACGGGTTGACGTTCAACCACTGAGCAACCCTGGCCTGGCGGAAGATGCCTTTTTATCATTGTTTAACTCAAGGCCCATAAGGATGCAAATAACGGAAACCAAGTCCGGCACAGGGGAGAGACGGTGGCGCTCCTCACAGAGCAGAGGGAGAGGGAAGCCAGGCCGGGGCGGCTGCAGGAGACCAGCTCCCGGCCCTCCTACCCGGCTCTTCGCCAGGGACGGGACTCTGCCCTCCGTCCCGGTGCCTCCCAGGCCAGATTCCCAGAGGAGAGAATCTGAGGAAACTCAAACCACTCTCCAGGAAAAAGGTCAAGCCGAAACCGGTCTGGCTCAGTGGATAGAGCGTCCGCCTGCAGACTGAAAGGTCCCGGGTTCGATTCCGGTCAAGGGCATGTACCTTGGTTGCGGGCACATCCCCGGTAGGAGGTGTGCAAGAGGCAGCTGATCGATGAGTCTCTCTCATCCATGTGTCTAACTCTCTATCCCTCTCTCTTCCACTTTGTAAAAAAATCAATAAAAAAAATATTTTTTTTTTAAAAAAAGGGTCAAGACCACGGTCACGCCCAGCAGCCGGGGAAAGGGTATTTGTAAACGCTTGTCTGTGTGAAAACACGCTCTCTGCCGGGCGTTCCTCAGATCACCTTTCGTGTCATCGGCTCACACCGCCTGTGTGGGCTTTTCTCCGAGTCCATCCCGACGCCCCGGCTTGCAAAATCCCTGCCGAGTTCCAAAACCACGGTCCCCGGAGCACACGGAGGCGGCCCCTCGGCCTTCGGGGAGCAGCGGCTGACACTGCCCCAGGCCCCTCGGGCGGGGGCTTCCATCGGCGAGTCCCAGAGCCCCGAGAGGCTTGCTGGAGGACGAACGTCCCGTCACCTGCTGCTGCTGAATAAACGGGCGGCACACGCTCCAGGGCGGGCTGGCTGCGTGCAGTCCCTGCGCACCAGGCTCCGTCCGTGCGGGTGCCTGCCTGTCCAATGGCAAACCAAACGTGATGATAGACCCTCCCTTCCTCCAGGTGATGGACAGACGTAAACTCCACCTGCAGCCAGACATTCCTGAGCACCGACCCACCCATCAGCTCCTGCCAAATGCCCTACGCCCCCCATTCCTAAGTCCCCAGGTCCCTGATCACCGGCCTTCCAGGAAAGCACCCATCGGCGTGTGCCGAGTACCCTAAGCCCCGTCCCCTCTCCTTAGAGGTGCTTGTGCCCCTGCCCTCGCTCTCTTCCGCTCGCGCTCTCTCTCTCTCTCTCTCTCTCTCTCTCTCTCTCTCTCTCTCTCTCTGGAAGCAGCCGGGTGGTATTCTTCTCTTCACTAAAGCCTGTGCCCTGGCATCCCGGGCTCCGGCCGCCCAGCTCTTTATTTCCTCTGTCACACGGCTATGTTGCAAGCCGTGCTGGCTTCTCTCTGGGCGCACATTTAACATGTGGCCACGCTCTGTGTCCTCGGAGAAGGGGGTTTGCGAGCGGTTTTACAGTGTCGGGCCTGACCCCGGGTCCGCAGTCCCACGGCCCTGGCCGAGGGGAGGCCATGCTTCTGGCCCCGGCGGTGCGCTCCGTGGTCTGCGTTGTCCGCGCACCAGGAGGTCACAGTTCCGTGTCCAGTCAAGGAAGGGCTGGTGCACGGGCTCTGGGCTCGATCCCCAGTAGGGGGCGTGCAGGAGGCAGCCGACTGATGATTCTATCTCCTCGTTGATATTTCTCTCTCTCTCTCTCCCTCTCTCTAAAAATCAATACATTATTTCTTTTCTCTTTTCTTTTCTTTAAAAAGGGGTGGGGGGGGGGCGGCTAACCGGTTTGGCTCAATGGATAGAGCGTTGGCCCTCAGACTGAAGAGTCCCAGGTTTTTTTTTTGTTTTTTGTGTTTTTTTTTAATATATTTTATTGATTTTTTTTTTTTTTTTTTTTTTTTTACAGAGAGGAAGGGAGAGAGATAGAGAGCTGAAAACGTCGATGAGAGAGAAACATTGACCAGCTGCCTCTTGTACACCCCCTACTGGGGATGTGCCCACAACCAATGTACATGCCCTTGACCGGAATCGAACCCGGGACCTTTCAGTCTGCAGACCGACGCTCTACCACTGAGCCAAACCGGTTTCGGCAAGTCCCAAGTTTGATTCTGGTCAAGGGCATGTACTTTGGTTGCAGGCACATCCTCAGTAGGGGGTGTGCAAGAGGCAGCTGATCGATATTTCTCTCTCATCAATGTTTCTAGCTCTCTATCCTTCTCCCTTACTCTGTAAAAAACAATAAAATATACATTTTTTTTTTTAAAAAAGGGCTAGTACTCCTGGGATCTTAACAAACGCTGATACCCTCAGCACTCCAGCCCCACCGGGGGGTGGGTTGCAGCCCTCAGTGGGTCCTGGGAGGAGAGTGTGACGTTCCCAGTACAGCCGAGGGAAGGTGAGGGAGCGAACGGACCCGGACCCACGCTGCCCTCAGGCTGGGGAACAGCGGCTTCTTCCCCGCGCTTCGGTAGGCACGTGGCAGCGATGGTCCGTTTGTGGTTTTGGTGAAGCCACACGATGCAAAGAGAGAC